CGAAGAGTTAAATTGGACGGATTGTCTTTAGCACGCCACTACCACCCAAAATCCTTCGGAGCAAAGACATGTTGGTTCAAGTCAAAGAATAAATGAAGAAAGATGAAGTTAAGAACTCTAACTAATTTTGATTCCATATGTGGCGAATCGCTAATGGGCGGGATAACCAACATGGCAAAATCGTTAATGAGAACCTACTTTGCACACACCAAATCATTTTATCTCGTACCGATAAATGTGTAAAGAGACACGCTACAATAATTATGTCTAAATTTCCTGATAATAAGGCATGATCAGCATTTATAAGAAGATGTTAAGACAATCTAAAATCGAGAAAAATAAAACAACACCTACCCTCAGCCGAATCAATCAATACAATATGCTCTGGACCATCAACAATTTAACACCTTATAAACCATCCCATATACCATATACTCTAAACCATATACCATATACTCTAAACCATCCCATATACCATATACCATATACTCTAAACCATCAACAACCTAATACACTAACCAGTCAGTAATCATTAACTTAACCATAAACACCTTATACAATAATCGCATACCTATACGCTGATAAAATTTTACATTATGAAAATACTTGCCCAAGTAAAGTACACAAGTACTTCAAAAGTGAAATTCTAACTTTCGTTTCAAAACATAAATTTAAAAAATGTCCTCACTAAGTATCCAACCACAAGCCTCTAATTAGTCTACAAGAGGTTTGTTATGTCAAGAGGGGCAAACAGTGAGAGAGTGGAATATGGGCAATTAATAAAGAGTTAAATTGGGCGGATTGTTTTTTACCTCGTACCGATAAATGTGTAAAGAGACACGCTACCATTTACCGAATCCCAAAAAAAAAGATGGAACACATAATTGTGTTTAAATTGCGTAAACGCAAGACATGATCAGGATTTAGAAGCAGAAGTAGAAGCAGGCGCAGATGTAAATAAAAGCCCAACCTCTTCACAATCCGGATCATGTACACAAGCCCACTTTTGAAGGGAATTTAAAAGCCCAACTAGACTTTGTCCTAAACGCACCGTTAATACATAAACACAAGTTAAGGCGACCTCTCCATCCGATTTGAATCAAATCCTGTCTTCTTCATCTTCTTCCTCAATTAGGTCGAAGACTGTGTTGCTTATTTCATCTTCAATTTGTGTAAATTCCGGTCGGAAATATAATGGCGAAGAACAAAAAGTCGATTGTGGATACAAGGAAACGATGATTATGTGGAGATTTTTTATTCCGGTCGGAAATAAAATGGCGAAGAACAAAACGTCGATTGTGGATACAAGGATTTGTGGTTCAAAATGATGATTATGTAGGGATTTTAGATTGAAAAGGGATCTTCTCTTCGAACGTGGATACATAGATTTGGGGTTCAAAACATGATGATGTTGGGGATTTGATATTGGATTGGGAGCTAAATCGAATGTCGATCAAATGATAAAAAGGATTTCAGATTTCAGATTTCAGAAACGATGATAAAAGGATTATGTTCGAACTTCGAACTAAGAGGGGACATCCCCTCCAAGACGAATGAGGGACTAAAAATTGGTTAGGGCGGCGGGTCGTATCCATATGGTTTAACCTCTTAATCGATATAATTAAACCGGGTACAGTTAGGTTGAAGTCCAATGAAAAACGCTTAAACGCTTCGTGATGCTTTTGGTAATTTTCCTTGCCCCTGGTTACCCGTACCCCGGATTTTGCCCTGGGCACCATAGAACTGTCCTGATGATATAATACATATGTTTTTATTTTTTTCATACACAATCGTGAATTATTTGCTTGATTTAACTAAACTATCACTCAAATTGAATGATTAAACAATTTCGAATTTTAGCATAGACTGTCGAGATAATTGGTATCGGTGTTTGACATGTTTATTTTTCTTGAAATATATGGTACCACTGTTCTTATGTCGTCATTGAACACTTCATCAACACTTCAATTCAATGCGCAATATTCCAACCAATGATATTTGTGTTGAGATCAATGCAGTCAAAAGCGCGATTCTACCTAAAAGCGGAAAAGGGGTAAAATCGAAAAGCGGCGAATCAAAGCATAAAAGCGTAAGTTTTTTATGCATCATGTATAATAGTTAAAAATCTGTTAAGTACCACATGTATTATGCAAAATATGAGTGCATGGAGTTTAAGACAAGTGAATAAATACATGCAATTCATGTCCAAATTAAAGCAAATTCATAACATCTTAACAATAAGTTCATAAACATAAACTGTAACCCACAAACGAGTTAATAACCAAATTCTCACAACATTAGCTTCACATTCTGCCCTTGGTTTCTCAAAGGTTCAATTAGAAACACCACATATACATAATTTAGCAGTAGCATACGTAGGTAAACCAGTAGGTTATACGCCTATTGGAAATTATAAGTAGTTTCCTTCATTTTGCTGGGTTGGTTTAAATTATTGAGAATGTGTGAGTTGTAATTTAGCTAGAAATACCTGCGAGGTTATATGTTCAGGGTGGACTAAGAGTTGAGAAGGGGTAGCATTTACCCACCATTTAGGAGTAATAGGTGAAGTGGCGACGGGGTATGACAAGATAGAGACAGAAACTAACATGTTGTGGCGCCAGCGAGTGGCGACAGGCGACGACATATACGACGGGTGCTGCCGCGTTGGAGCTATCGAGTGCGCCGGGCTAGAGCTTCACTAGAAGGTGGCGACGACGGTTGCGGACTTGCAGCGGCGGCGAATACTTCACTGGAAGGCCGGCTGCGTGGCGGCGCAGAGTGTGTTGGAGTGCTGGAGATGGAGGATTAGGGATTGCGGAAGAGTGGTTTGGCAACCTCAGCCTAATATCCACCCCCTTTCACCCCTTTTTTTTGTCCGAAGTGATCAAAATGGCGTCGTTTTTGTTTGGCGGAGACAATTTTCTCCTTTGCTTGGAATCGGATAAAAACGGTGTGAAAGCGCGCTTTTATCCGATTTTAACGATTCTACTAACGCTTTTGACTGATTTTGAGTTAAATACGATTTTATTAGTGATTTGAAACGTTTTCCTACCCTAGAAACGTAAAATCGTACGATTTTACGCTTTAAAGCGCGATTTTGACTACACTGGTTGAGATTTTAAAATTATCCTTCATTTATAAATTAGGAAAAATTCTAAATTAATTATTAAAATATGAAAATAGAAGTATCAAACACCACAAAATACTTACAGGAGACTTAGCGGGCTAACTAACCGTGATAGAAAAGTACTATGTTTTTCATAATTTTTAACTTCCTTTATGTTTTGTATTAATAAAGTACAACAAATGTGCCTAGTCTAATTGGTTACAACTCTGTGAATCATTCTCATGACAACATATTCAAAACAGAGAAAATAAAATATATTGATACGCTATTATGCACTTTTTTTTATACTTACAAGTTCATTCTAAATGACGACAAAGGAATACGTACGATAGATTTTGTTATTAACTAGTTTTTTTTTGTCCTGTTTGAATGATATTCCCGAGTTTTAATGTAACATATCATTTTTCCCCCTAAAGTCAATGTACCATATCCGGATGAATGCAAAAGGCACATCGAATTGATGACAAAAAACAGAGTCTCATTAAATACTAGATTGCATTTTGAAGTAGTCATATATAATATAGCTTATCTATCTGTTTCCTTAGGTTCAAATTTCGTCACACTATAAAAGGATGCACGTTGCGATTGATCAAGCAAAAGACTAGAAAGGCATTATCCACCGTTGAATCGCAGAGAAAGCATATAGGCGGAATTCAGCATGAAGGCCAACATACCATGGATGTTTCTGACAATAATGGTGGCTTTGCTGTTGATTGTTGTTCCTCTGCCTTCCTGCCACGCCAGTGATCCTCGCCAGCGACTGATATGTTACTCCAAGTGCCTCGGAGATTGCCATGGTCCAATACAAGCATGCCAAGATATCTGCTATCGCAAATGCAGGGCATCAACTCTAGATCGAGAATCAAAAACTATGATAAACAAGAGAGAGTAGCTCTCTCAGATCTTTGGAGTTGAGATGGTGTCGTCTCTTGTTTCCTAATAATTAGCATGGCATAATTTGCAAACAATAAAAGTCGGCATCTTTATCGTTCGCAAAAAAGACTCTTCTATCGACATATTGTTTGACTTACTCTTCAAATCATTACTTATTTTACAACCGGAGTAAACCTCGTCTTCCCTATTGTTCAAGTGACTTCGTTAATTCCTCTTTGTTCTAGTTTTCTAAATACTCAGATCGGCGTGGGGAAAACTCCTAGATCAGTAAACGGAGCCGATTAATAACTAACTGCTAGAGACTATTAGGCGGTGCGGGGAAAAATCCTGTACCAGTATGAGTATTTTGTGATAATTAGTGTTATATAGATATAACTAAAAATCCAGTCGTTCACAAACAGACTAATTGAGAATCGGAGAAATCTGGTTGGAGGAGGGAGGGTCGTCGACCATCGTGATTCTGGTCTCACTACTAAAAATAAGCCCTATGCCGAGGGTTATGTACCAAGGGTTGACGAAACCCTTGCTATTTTTTTCGCAATTCATTGTAACGGCAGTTTGTTGCAGGGGTCGAAAAACCCCTGCTAGTGGATTGAACTAAATCTAATCCTATCTTCCAATTTGCTTCCGAAAAATAGTCTTGTTTGCTGATTCCGATTTTCCTTCTTCCCCAAACGAAAACCCATAGTTGATAATACAAAATTCAAGGCAAAGAAGCTCTGATTTTTCTTCTTTTCTTTACAGTCCCTGTTCGCTGATTCCACCGGAACGTGAAAGAGAGGATGGAGATTGGAGAGAGAGCTCGCTGATTCAGCCGGAGCACGAGAGACAGGAAGGAGAAAGAGCTCGTTGATTCTGCCTCAGCGAGAGATACACGGATCTCTCTTTGTCTCGCTCCAAACGACGCAATTTCCCGGCCTCTCCCTCGCTCCAAACGACGCAATTTCCCGGCCTCTCCCTCGCTCCTAACGCGCGATTCTCCAATCACTCCCTCGACCTAAGCGGTGCGATTCTCTGTTCTCTCCCTTGCCCCAAGTGGCGCGCTTCTCTGATCTCTCCCTCACTCCGACGCGATTTCGCGATCTTTCTCCCGCTCCGACTTGTAAGGTTACCTCTCTCGCACTTTTCGTGACTATTGAGTGATTTTAGGTTTCGACGCCCTGCATATTATAGAGTTGATATATATCATTATATGCTAAAATTTACACTGAGAAGCTTAAGGAGATTATGTTGGGGGTCTCGTCTGGTTACACTTGACCTGATGGTATCGGTGGTTTGGTTGCCTGCTATGAATACAACTATACATCGACTGTTTGGAAAAGAATAGTAACACCATACACTTTGACACCATTGTTTATTGAAAAACTTAGCCATAACTACCATGGCTAATGGGATTGATTAATTGAGTTGGTGCTGATGATCATTCTATTATTTTCATGTTTCAGGGGTATTTCTTTAGCCTTGAGGTAATAATACTTCTAGGACTCTTGAGGATTCATGTTTTCTTATCAGGAAGATGGATCCATTTTAGTTACTAGTGGAATAAGGATTAAGTGCTTGGAATCTAGATAATCACTTAACCTACAGACTATATGAATAATTTTGTAAGGCAGCCCACTTAATGACGGATTCCTTCAGCGAGTTGATTGAATTGTGTGGCTCTCTGGGATATTTTACAAAGGAGGAATGTGTGAGTAAAGGGGAAATGGAGCTGGAGCTGGACGATGTCCTCTTGGTTCGGGAAGGGTTTGATCAGAAGAAAAAGTATGTCAAAGGGAAAGCAGCTTCCCACTTGTTAAAGCAGCTTGAGCTTGAGGTTTGATTTACATATAATATGTGGTTGCATGCAATATGGAGTCGGATCAACAATAATTTTAACTGCTATGGTGGAGCAGCATTATCATTGCACAAATGAGGACTTGCCCTTGTGGGAAGTGAGTGCATGAAGGAATGTCCTGTGATGTTCCAGTGCGCTATGCGGAGATACTTGTGGCAAAATTTTGAGATGTGGTTCCATGGGTGTCATGAAAGGTTCCACCGAGGGAAGTGTGCTGAGACCTGCAGAATGGTTGTCTTCAAGTCATGCTGTTGTGGAAGCTTGAAGAAGGAGGTAAAATCTAGTTCTAGATTATATGCTATCAATATTTTGATCTTCTTCATTTTGCTATAATGTGACAGACCTTTGAATTTCAGGTTTGTGGGAAGAGATTAAGGTGCAAGAATCACTAATGCCCTTCCGCTGGTCATAGGTATGATTTGTTGTATGTAGCTCCATTAGATTATAGAACAAGACTTGGAGTTGCACTGGGGTATTTTGTTCGCCATAAGCTTGCTTTTAAGCTATGCACTGCATAGTCTGCATTTATATTTGCAACAACATTCACATCTATGTGATGGGCTACTTATGTGATTTAACATTTCTAGGGACCAAGAGCCAAATTGCTTTCATATTGCAGCTTTGCTCTCGTTTGCTTATCATGATTTTCTTATTCTGTAGAGGTCCCTATGCCCCTTGTCCTGTGATGGTTCCAATATCATGTGCTTGTGGTCGGACACGATTTGAGGTGAGCTTTTTTACTCGTCCTGACCCTGTTTGATACTAGGAGGAAGTTGTTTATTCAGTTACTGGTTGAACTGATTTCTAAAGCTACTGTCAGGACATGATGTTTCAAAGTAGTGTTTGCCTTCTCTTTTTTATGCTAAAGGATGCAACAATAGCTTCTCTATTCTCCGATTTTTGCTTGAGTTCCTTGCATTGATTTGCCACAAATGCAAATTTATTGGTGGTCGTGGATGTGTTTCTACTTGCCAGGTTCCTTGTGGAACGGAGAAGGACCAAAAGTCTCCCAAATGTCCAAAATTGTGTGAAATTCCTCCTCTGTGCAGGCATGGCCCCAAAATCAAGGTATTATTAGTAAATGATTTATCTCAGATTTGGACTTTGTGCAGCTTTTTCATTGTTTTTAACACTGTTGAAACCTTATGTTATATCCATTCCAGTGATTAGCAGTTGGAGTTGGTTTTTGAAAAACCTGCTATAATCCGGACATTATTTGAAAAATCTACTATACTCTGCTTGGCCATTATTTGAAAAACCTACTATGGTGGAGCAGCATTAGCATTTTCATGGTTTGCAGTTGGTTTTTGTTTTGCACCGACTCCTGTGCATTTAACCATTTAGATTATTTAAACAAATGCTCTTCTCAACAGATTTCTGCTGGGCAGCCTTGCTTTGGACGTCCATGGTCCTGTGTGAGGATCAGGTATCATGCAGCCTCCTTGACCATATCATCACCGTGGCAAATGGAGAAGTAAGCCAATCAATTCTACCTCTAACTCTGTTCTGCAACTTGCTCTCTTCTTGATGCTATAGTGGTTATCAGAATGGGGCAAAGGGTTCATATCGGTTTTGGATGCGTCTTTGCTTGACCATTCAGTTTAACTTACATAAATGTATATGTCAAGGGGATGGCAGCGCAATAATTCATAATTATTAAGGCTTCACTACCATATGCTCTTGCGGGTATGTTCCCTAGCTTGTCTCAGGTTGGTTTCATGTATCTTAATGATTGAGTATGAACCATCTTTTGCAGGACATGTGCCTATAATCAGGAATACAAGAGAATTGTCTCCTGAGTATTCCCAAGATCCCAGATATCTTTGCATCCATTACCCGTACAGAGGAAGATATTACTACATCAGTGTCATCTTTCTACGAGGCAACAGGGACTCCATCAGCTGTGACCCCAACAAGAAACCGGGCTTCTTACCCCCAAAACCCAGAGGAGATAAGGACAAGGACCAACTTTGCCTCACAAGCAGCGGTATCATTTGCTCTAGATGGATATAAGACAAGATATTCTGGCATTTCTTGATGGTAGGATGATGCGGGGAGACTGAACACTGAAGAACGAATTGGAAAGTGGGGATGGTGCAAGGCTTAGAAGTTGGTCCCCAGCACTGAGTATGCTTCTGAGCTTCACACCTGGGGTACAGGTCAGCATCCGCAAGTAGATCATTAGGTTCTTCTGAGTACTTACAATATTATGAGTATTAGACCGTGTTTCTTTGGATTACATTAGAATATTTTTAGTTATTAGTATTTGACAATGTAAATAATATTATCTCGGATCATGAACCATGGAATGAATCATGAAATATTGATGGGTAGTGTATGGTATGATTTGGCTACCAAGAATGATATTTATAGAAAAATTAGCAACAAAAAAGCTTGGTTATGGATTTGTCTATAGCGACCAGAGTATTTGCAACCAAGTTCTAGTCACTAATCTTGGTGCTTCTCTTTAGTGACGGTTTTGAGGTGCTGCAAAATGTTTATCGGCCTCTCTTTTAGTGACGGTTTTGAGTTAGTCGCAAATAGTATTAGCGACGAATAAAGCATGGGTTTTACCCCTTGCTAGTTATCACAACGAATTTAGTAAGGGTTTTAACCCCTGATACAAACATCTCACTATTAGATTTTACACATAAATGTACCAGGGGTTTTAACCCTTGATACGTGTAGCAGGGGTTTCAACCCCTGTTACAACCCTTGGATAGGACTTTCACCGTGGGTTGCTAAAAACCCCTGGTACACGTAGCAGGGGCAGCATAGGTAAGGGTTTATGCAGGGGTTGGTAAAACCCTTGCTAGAACTTGTAGCAGGGGTTATAACCCTTGCTATAGGTAAAATAAACCCTTGCCATAGGACCTTTTTTTTGTAGTGTCTGGTCTGCCTCCTTCCAACAACCTCCGGCCCGTGGTGATGTTGGTCACCGCGGAGTCAGCAATCGATGGTGACGACGATGCTGGTGGTCTCAGTATTGGTCTCTGCTCTAAAGTGGCAGATGAATGTGAGGAAATCTCAAATACCAAATAGATTATGCATGTATTTGACATATTCTAAAACAACTCAGTAAACTACACTCATATATTATCAAACTATTTTTTCAAAATAATATATATTACCAAATACCAAATTATCAAGCGTCTCTCCATTTAATAACAAAATTCTTTTTTAGATAAATTATTCGACCACAATTATATCTACATATATTGCTCAATTGATATAAGATTCTATGTGTGGCACTTATATCCGACTCTCTAAATATTTTATAGTTGTGTATACATATAGAAGCCAAATTGGATAATTGCTTCTGTAACTAAACTTTTTCTTATTTTTTTATAAAGAATTAGAAAATATTATTAAACAAATGCAGATACAAAGATATATAATATTGTAGCAAATAATTTTTTGTCTCAAAAGATTAGTTGTAGAACTTAATTTAGAGACATGCTATATGTGTTAGACGAGTGTAATGTCGTTTTTTCATTCTTGTACATGTCATATTGTATTGGGCCAGTTGTACGTAGTTTTGTTGCTTGTTTTGGATTGGGCCTTTAGTTTTGACTCATGCAACCCAAGCAGGGAGAGGGTTGGCCCAACGTGTGGATCCCTCCCCTAGGGTTCAGTCGTGATGATACTCCTAGTCCTAGGGAGTATATTTTACCGTAACAATGGGCTGATGTAAATTGAGAACAGTACGGTAGATTGGTGCTCGAAGAGTACTAACTCTTTCGTGGACCAGTCCTGAAATTCGAAACGAAAACAATTAGATGGCCTAAACTAGAAATTGGCTTGAAACCGGAAGGAAACGCTGCTAGGTAGTAAGAAAATAGATCTCATTTCACACCATGTCAGATGACACAGGTACGCTAGCAAGTAGATGATGGAGAAGGAAACATATTCTTCGAAGATGACGACTTTTCAAGGGATAAATCAACAATTAAACAATAATCTCAAGTTCACAACTTCTTCGAGAGCAGACCACAACAACAGTTTTGTCTAGGTAGCTAGGATGGCAGACGTTACATTGGCAGTTGATTATGGAGAATGATAAATTGGAAACTGATAGGGGGTCGATTGAGGATGATTTGAGGAAGACGAAACGAAAGGGTGTAAGTCTGTCTAGCGAAGCTGATGAAACGTGTCATAAAGGTTTTGCGAATCAAAACTGATGGAAAGTGGAGCTCAAAATTTTCTTTTGCCATAGGTATTCCCAGTTGAGAAATAACTTAGATACAATAACTTACAAAATCTTTGCAGGTCAAGTCGTAAAACGGAAAGAAGAAAAAAACGTTGGTTGGCAATTGTATGACCCAACAATGAAAGGACATATTTTTTTGCCACGATATGGACATCCCTATTGATACCTACAAGGGGTGAAATGAAACGAAACAAGATGGACTGATGAATGTATCACTTGAATTTCTTGCAGGCTAGCTCCTTCCATCATTTTGCAATGAATCCCTCACGTTGACCATCTGAATAATAACCTGCACATCACTACAAAACAAAACGTTAGTGAAAGAATGCAGATAGTAACTTTTGAAAGTAATAATACTTTCGCCAACAAAACCCACAAAATCAGCCCATCATAGCTTTGGTGGCACCATCAAAATTGACCCGAATTGCATTACTAGGAATGGAAGATGGGACCAAATTCGTTCAATTAAAAACAAAGAAAGTGTTATTCATACCCTTCCACGAATCACTCTTATGGTAGCGTATTCAAAATGGAGAAAATCAAACAGTATAGATCATCTATCATGTATTATATATTCCGTTGACTTACAAATTCACAGTAATTCACGACAAAGGAATAAATACAATAGATTTTGCAAATTAACTAGTTTTTTTTGTCCTCTTCGTCAATGATATCCCTTAGGTTTAATGTGACATATCCTTTCCTTTTCTTAAAGTCAAATGTACCATATCCAGATGAATGCAAAAGGCCCATCAAATTTATGATAAGAAAACAAAAAGTCTCATTAAATACTAGATTGCATTTTGAAGTAGTCATAGGCTCATAGCTGATCTGTTTCCTACGGTGCAAATTTTATCACACTATAAAAAGGATTACTTCAACTAGTAAGCATCCCAACCATTGAATCGCAGAGAAATTAAGCATATATAGGCGGAATTGAGCATGAAGGCCAATGCACCATGGATGTTTCTGGCAGTAATGGTGGCTTTGCTGCTGATTGCTGTTCCTCTGCCTTCCTGCCACGCCAGTGATCCTCGCCAGCGACTGCGATGTTACTCGAAGTGCATCGGAGATTGCCCTGCTCCACCGAAGACGTGTGCAGATATCTGCTATCGCAAATGCAAGGCATCAACTCTTGATCGAGAATCGAAAACTACGATAAATAAGGGAGAGTAGCTTTCTAAGATCTGGGGACGGAGGTGGTGTCATCTTGTTTCCTAATAATTAGGATGGCATAATGTGCAAACAATAAAAGTCGTTATCTTTATCCTTGCTTGACTTCATCTCCAAATCATTACTTTTTTGCTAATTATAACGAAACGTGAAATCGACAATTGCAAGAAGAAAGTAAAGTATTTGTACCATCTAGCTCGAGGTATGAACAATATCATTTTTAGATGTGGGCTTGATTCACGATCCGTTCGTAAAAGTCTATGGAGCGGGTCGGACCCGCTCCAAAACAGGCCAAACAGATCGAGTAAACACGTCAGGTCGAAATTTCCATCGAATGTAATTAGCTGCATTTTCTTGATTTGTTAGGGTTAATATAATTATTTTTCCATATGTCATTGAATTACAAAAGCTGGATCCATTGGTGGTTTAGGGGAGTTTGTGATACTTAATTGAGTTCTTCGTTTGCCTTTTCGAAGTGATCAAAATGACGATGGTTAGGGACGGATTGAGTACTGGCTACTTTCCATTGATTTATTGTGCATTCAGATGCCGTTGGGTGGAGTGCATCCCCTGATTGGCCATTTAGTGGTTTTGATCAAGAGGTGCTTTTCTGAACTAAAAGCAATCGACTTTTTTAGTTTATGCTATCACCTGTGATTCTATCTATAAGTTGTAGGGGTGGCTATACGGTCCGGTCCGGTTAAATTGGCCCAAATTGATCCGGTACAGTCCGGTTTTTTTGAAAATATAAGGACCGAAGATTGGATTGGATACAGTCCGGTCTTGATCCGGTCCGGTCTTAACCCGGTCCGGTCCCAATTCGGTCTTGATTTTATATTGAGATTGTGGGAATTTGAGTGGCCTAAGGCCTAAAAGGGTGAGAAGTTGGTTAAGTTTTGTACTAAGTGCAAAGGTTTGTGACCGTTTATGCAAATTACTCTTAAGTTTTGGGTGTTGAGCTCTCTTATCCGGTCTTTATCCGGTTTTTTTACCTCAAATCTAAGCCCAAAGATTAGATTGGATTGTTTACTATCCGATCCCGGTCCGGTCTCGGTCCGGGTTATACGGTCCGGTTTCCAGTTTTTCATCCGGTCCCGGTCCAAATAGCCAGCCCTAATGGTGATGGTGCTGTAATTTAATTTCATTGTTTCCATTGCTTTTGCGAGGTTGTTGGGATTTTTACATGCAGAGCGATTGGTATATACTGCTCGAGACCATAGATTTAACTAGAAATCGTACGAGAATATGAGTAGAGAAACTGTATTGTAGAGCATCATGACGTGAGAGACTCACTTTTCAGGGTGGTTAGAGTGATTACTCAATTTTGAGTAATTACGGTAGCTACCAACATTTCTACTATTCATTATTTTTGTTTTATCATATTTTTAAATTAATGATTAATATTAAATTAAGGTTAATTTGGGAAATGAAAAACATATCATATCTGATTACTCTATGTATTATACCCAAACCCTAATACAACCAGTCTACGTAGCCGCCGTCTCTCTCGTCTCACTCCACAACCTCGCTGCCCTCCCTCTCTCCCCCACCCCACCCCCGCCGGCATCACTCCTCTCCCCCCCCCCCATCCACCCCCACCCCCGGGCGGCGACGTCCCTCCTCCCTCCCTCCGACCACCCAACCCCCTCCCCCACACCCCGTCGGCGTCCCTTTTCCCCCCGACCATGCTCCCTCTTCTTTCTTTTTATACCCGCTCCATCTCTCCATCCCACCCCACCGGTGTCGTCCGTTAATGGAGTTGGGCGGAAACTAACGGGAGAGTGACTAAATGTGACATATTTCAGTAATTCGAGTGACCAAAATTTATATTAATTTTTTCTAGTGACTAAACATGGCATGATTTAATAACCTCAGTGACCAAATGTGGCATTTACCCTTCTTAAATTAGTATTAATTTTTAGAACTACTATGAAACAATCATATTCATA